GGCTTTCTTCCCCAGCCATATAATAACTAAAGCAACAAATATTTATCATGTGCGACTCTGTGCTGGGGGCCCAGGCGTGTAGAGTAAGAGAACTGTATTCACTATGCCAAAGGAGCAAACGGTGTGGCGGGGGAGGCATTCTCATCTTTGAAAAGGGTACCGCCACCACGGATAACAGCAGTTCCTGCCTCACAGGGTGCTGGGGGTTAAATTAGTTAATGCAGGCGAAGTGCTCAGAGTGTTGCTACCCCAAAATAAGTCCTCAGGACCGGGAGTTGTGGGGTGAGGACCTGATGGGGAAGTACGCCAGGCTCTGGGGACCCAGATGAGGAGCCCGTAGTTCAGAAGGGTGGAGGCAGGGGAGGTTCGCAGGAGTAACAGACACACCTACCTCCTGCCCCACTCCCTGGTCTGAGCCCCTGGAGCGCCTCTGCTCAGGGGATGGACGGGATGGCAACAGATGGCCAGGCGTGGGTCCTGGCCCCGCTGACACCACGTCGGACTGTGGGTCCCACCCACGACCTGGCCATGTCCCGCAGCCCCCTCAGAGAGGAGCCCTGGGCAGGCCAAGGCGAATGGGAAGAATGCGTGGGCAGGGGCCGTGGAGGCCTCGTGGCAGGGGATGACCGGGAGAAGGTGTCATCACCACCTTCTCTGGGGCAGAAAGGGGGTGTGTGTCCGCCTTATAGTCCCTGGCCCAGCAGCAGCGCTACAGGCTTGCAGGAGAGGCCAAGGAGGCCCCCCACAGGATCAGGGATGGTTTACGAACCCCAGAGCCAGGGGAGGACTGGGGTTGGGGGCAGGGGGATGTGGTAGAGGTGGTGTGGGGAAGGGATCAGGGATGCTGACAGCTTGGAAGCTGGGTCCAGAATCCAAGGGTACAGCTAAGGCACCTGGGCTTCCAGGGTGGAAAAGGAGGCCAGACCAGGGTCAGGCTCTCCACAGGAAGAAAGATAATAGGGTTTGGCCACATCAGGGTGTGGGGTGGCCTCTGTCTCCAGGACAGTCCCCTCTGCACTACCCTCCGGGCAGGACAAATTCTGCAGTCATCTATCCACCTAAATTCTCCGTAAAACTGTTTACAGCCCTTCCTAGCTATGTGATTAGGGGCAGGCTATCGAACCTCTCTGAGCCTCTGGCTTTTTGCCTGAAAAAACCCCCCAAAAACAGGGTTAATGAGAGACAGTGTGTTTAACACCCTTGCCAGCATGGTGGCCCAGAGTCAGGCTCAGAAGATGGCTCCCCAAAGCACCATCTTTTCCTATCAATTCTTCCTCTTTTATGCTCTCATTTTTTTGGCTCTGGGCCCACAGTCTTGTGGTGAGTTTATTCAAAGTTCTTATTCCAGAGAACGGAGACAAGGGGGCAGGCGAGCCTGAGAATGCTTTCTAAACCACCCCAAGGGTGTTCCAGGCAGAAGAAAATGATCTTGAGAAGGGGGGTGACCTTGAAAGTGACATAACCGGGGAGGGGGTCTGTGCAAACACCCCTACGGAGTCAAATTCCCCACCCAATGGTATCCGTCCCTGGGAAATATAAAAAGGAAGTACGGAGAACAACCAACATCCAGACCCACAGCTAACTGAGCTGCAGGTGCTGGCTGGAGACAGACCCATTTGACTCTCCCCCGCTCGCTCCCCCCAGAGTAGCCCTCAGGTGACAGCACAGGCCAGCCGCCTCTCGCAGGGAAATCAGGAAGAGAGGGGGAAGAACTGGGGAGGCGGGTGGCAGGAATGAGGAATTAGGCAAAGAAAAATGGCGCACAAAATGCAGAAACACCCCAGCATGCTTGCTTCCCAAACCTGGCCCATGAATCGAGGGGTGACAGGTCGCTCATCTCCGATGCCAAGAGCCAGGAGCTCCGGGCAGCCACAGGTACTACATCTGCACCTGCCAGCACTTGGAAAGAGGCAATAAAGCATAGCAGCAGGGCCTGGAATGCTAAGTGCCTGCAGCTGGGAAGGGACTGCCTTGCAGCAAGAGCCGCTCACGGCACACCTCCACTGGGCGAGGGCCACTCCCAGGGACTGGACCGCACATCCTCGCCTGCCCTGGGCAGCCCGCTGCTGGGGCCAGGGCAGCGGGCAGAAGAGGAGGCAGGACAGGTGCACATGGAATGTAGCCCTGGGGGCCACCCAAGGCCGGGTGCTGGCCCAGACAGACAGGGATCTTCTGGATGAAGCCCAAGTGAGCTGGCTGATTTACGGAGGCTGGCAGAAAGCTGGGACGCTTGAGTCACTGGTAAATGAGAGTGGATCATAAAGCACCCTGGCTAAGCCAGACGTCTGGAAATACACCAGGGCCACATGCAGCTCACAGTGTGGCCCCATTCCTCGAAGGATAATAACAATAATAATGTTTATACAGAACTCGCAGTAGTGGTGCCAGACCCTGTTCTAAGTGCTTTGTATGCCTATTAATTTACTCACCCCTCACAACAACCCTGAGAAGTTGGTGGGTGCATTATCCTCCTGTTATATGCCTGCAAGGTGAGGCAGCACCGAGAGGCCAGGGAGCTAAGCACAGAGGCAGGGTTTGAACCCATGCAGTCTGTTTCCAAAAGCCCTGCCCTAGCCAGTGCTTCCCAAACTCTACCATGCCTGCCAGTCACCAGGGTGGCGTGTTGGCAGCTCCTGACTCAGTCAGTCTGGGGGCCTGAGACTCTGCATCACTAACACACTCCCAGGGATGCCTGGTCCCAAGACCACGCCTTGAGTAGGGCGCTCTAAATTACTATACTAGGTTCCGTGACAGCCCTTCACTGCAGAAATGAGTTTATACGCACTGCTCTGGCCTCTGGAGGCGAGTGTGAATTCCTCAGTTAACAGGGAGAGGCCCTCACAGGGTGTCAGAATCAAGGGGCTGGGGCTGGAGGAGGGAGTGTGAAGTCTTAAAATGCCCATGTCCACACCTCACCTCGGCCTTATTCAATCAGAATCTCTGGGGTAGGGCCCAGACTGGAATTTTTAAAAAGCTCCCTGGGTGATTCCACTGCGTAGCCATGGTAGAGCCCTTCCAGACAGACAATAGGGATGCCTCAGTCAATGCGTCAGACTCATCGAAAGTTCCGTGGGGTTAGGTCAGGGATTTCAAAGGTGCTCTCAGAAAAGGGGTGGCGAGCCAACTCCTAGGCCAGTTGATGGGTATGGCTAGGGTCTGCTAGGGTATCCTCTTCTTGTCCCCTGGGGCACCCCTGGAGGAGAGGGGCAGCTGGCAACCCCCAGCCTGGGATGCCTTTAGAGCACCCCGCTTCCCCCATCCATGAGCTTTCAAGAGAGAGCAGACCTTGCCCTAGATCAGCTGCGGAAACTGAGGCTCCTGACAAAGAGTAACCACACTGAACCCTCTTCTCCACTAAACCTGGACCTTAGCCCCCGTCCTATCTCCACCTGCCAGCTCAGTCTTAGCAAGAATCCTTCGAAGTCAGTTTATGGAGAATCCCCCCACCCTTGATATCTTATCACCCTCGAGATCTGATCAAGTTCTTCATCCCCCACCCTTGGTGTCTATGTCATTGGCCTGCCTTTAGCAAGAATCCCCCTACCCTTCATTGTAAATTAACTATACTTCAACATTAAAAAAAGAAATAATTCTCAAATGCGATGGCTACTTTCCAAGTAAGGTTAGTGACAATTTTTATACTAAACCAAATTATAATGAAACCTTAATTTAGGAGGAAAAAAAATCCCTCTACCCTGATGATTCCTCTTAGTAACATTCCAACCACTGACCCCCTCACTTTGCTCCTTAGCTATACATCTCCACTTGTCCTTGCAGTATTTGGAGCTCAGCCCAATCTCTCTCCCTTACTGCAACAGTCTTGAGTAAAGGTTTCCTTACCACTTTAACAAGTGGCAGAATAATTTTTTCTTTAACACTCTCCCTGCCCGTGGGAAAAGTCACCCCACAAAATGAGCAGCCCCAGGTGGAGAGAGAGGGCTTGATGCCACTGCCAACCAAACTGAGACTCCTCACCTTGATATTCAAGGCCCAAGCAAAGTCTTCAAGGCCCAGGAAATTATCTCAAGCCTTATTTCTCTCTTATGTGCACCCCACATATAGCAAAACCAGATGCTTCACTGTTCCTAATAAACATCTGAACTTTCCTTCCAACCTGCCATAGCTCAGAGTTTTCCTTCCACCTGGAATGTCTCCTCCCCATTCTTCTAAGTTGCAGAGATCTCTCCCCTAATAACAAGACTACTTACGCCCAGTCTTCAATTCCCCATCTTCCATAACTACACAAACTCCTATCTGAGCTGGGTACATGGTTCTCCGGGATAAAGACAACACTTAAAGACTACACTTCCCAGCCTCCTTTGCAGTGCTTGTGGTCACATGACTGACCCATGCAATATGAGCAAAAGCAATGTGTTTTACTTCCCAGAGTGTTTATGTTCTTATAACTGTCCTTTTCCTCTTCCTATTTGATGTAATGGCTAGAACTCCAACAGCCATTTTAGACTATGAAGTGATCCTGAACATGGAAGCTACACATGGTGGAGTAACTAGGTTCCTGCACACGTGGAACATCACACTAGCATTGGGCTGGCCCCCTCCAGACTTGCACACGAGAGAAAAATGACCTTCTATCTTGTGGTAGCCACTGTTCTTACGGAATTTTCTGCAACTCACTGCTGAACTCAGCACTGTTATATCCACTCTTTCGAACTCCTGGAGGCATGGACTCTGAATTCTTGGTTACCATATACCACGCGGCACAGAATCATCTTTTGCGTCTCCTCCCCAAGTTAAATACTAAGCAATGTGAAGGCTGGGGCTGTGTCTTATCCATTTCCATCTTCCCCTGCCACCTGAAGCGTGAGGCCTCATATACAACACAGAGCATGTTTTAGGGCTGAAGTGAATTCCATCTACGTACTATACTCCACACAGCTTCCCAATTTGCATCCATACTCTTAGGACGCTGCAAGCCTCCCTGGAAGGGTGCACCCAAATGAAGTTGCCCTTCACCGCCTCCCAGGAGGAACACGCCTTACCAGGATGTCCGAGCCCTTAGGCTCCTCCACTGTGGCTGGGCTGGAACGGTTGCTGAGTTTGAATATCCAGTACTCCTGGGCCGTGACAAAGAAGTTCCACGGCAGCAGGCCACCGATGCCCAAGCCGAAGAAGATGATGTAGGTACCACTGAAGCGGTCCTTGGGCCTCTGCAGGCCGGGCGGCGGGCGGTCCAGCAGCTTCTCAAGCAGTGCTTCTTGGTCAGCTCGGAGAGAGCTGCTTGCAGTTCTGTAGGTGGAGTTGGAGCTTTGATGAAAGTCATCCTCTGAGACGATGGCCACTGTTGGAGCAGAGAGAGAAGCAGAGATGGGGCAGGTGATCAGAAGCTGAGGCCGGGACTCACCCATCCTACAAAGCCGACTATGTCCCCGCTGTGAGGTCTACAGGGTCACCAAGGCGTGGTTCGAGAGCTTCAGGTTTAAAGATTAGGGAGAAGGACAAGATGTCACACTGTAAGTGACCTCAGGTTCCCCCCACCCGGTCCATACAAGGGCAACAGAGTAGCAAATAATTGTGGGGCAGCTGGGAGTAAGGCAATGCGGCATGGTGGGGCCTGTGGCAATCAATCTGCAAGGGCAGATCTGGTCTCAAGGCATCGAACTTTCTAAGCAGCCACAACAAAAGGAATGAGGACCCCTGATGAGCGCACAGTGCTCTCTAAACGCTTCAACTTTATGTGAGAAAAGTAAGGAGCAGGAAAAGTGTGCAGAATATGGTACTATTTGTGCAAAAAAGCAGGGATGGGGTAGATGGGAAGGAGAAAATACACACATATGTACGTATATCCTCTGGAAGGACGCAAAAAATCTCAAACAGTGGTTGTCTCTGAGGTGGGAGGCTAGGGATGGGGAGGGTGGGGACTTCACTGCATGCTCTTCTGCACCTCTCGAATTCTGAACTTTGTGAATGTATTATCTGTTCAAAAATAAAATTATAAATAAAAATAAAGGCATTCAAATTAAATAATATTAAAAAAAAAACCAAACAAACAAATTCATGGTGTCTAGCACTGCCCCCAGAAGCTGGTTTGAAACATCTAATAGTCCACTCTCTCATTTCATTTGTGGGGAAACCGAGGTCCAAAGAACAGGTCACAAACCAGGCCAATGGCCAAGCCTGAGCCTGCAGCTCCAGCCTGGGTCCCCACCTCTGTTCATCACATCCCACCATGAGACAGCAACTCCCCATTTGTGGTAGCAGCTAAGACAAATTGAAGATTCCAGGTTGCCAGTAACAATTGTGTACATGGCCTTGGGCAAGTCACCATGCTCTGAGCCTCACCTTCCCCATCCCCATCCGCAAACCCAGGGAAGCCTTTTTCCAATGGTTTTTGTAAACTGCGACTGGCTGGCAATGCTGACAAACGTCAGCATCTTCCCTGCCATTCTGGGCTTGTCACCTGGCCGGCTGGCTGCGGAGTTTGGCTGCAAGGTAGCACGCCTGCTTCTATGCCCTATATAGGCCATGACAGCAGCTTGATAAATGGGAAATACTTCCATAAAGCTGAGGATGGGATACTCTGTAGTCCCTTCTGCAATAAACAAACCAATGCATCTCGGCTCACGTAGGAGTCTGAGCCTTAACTCAGAGCATCAAGCCAGGCCAGGTGAGGTGGGAACACTGTGTCACAGAGGTACAGAGCCTTATCAGGCTCTGCTACTATTTCGGGAGAGCCTCACAACATTTCCCGGAATTAGGCAGGACAGAAATTATTGTCTCCTTTTTATCAGAAGCAAAGGATGAGGACTTAAGTCACTTGATTTGTCCCACATTCAAACAGTAAGAATTCCCAATAGTTAAAATTAAATCCAGTACTCATGCATGTCAAGGTCTCTACCTAGCACTTGAGGCTGACAACAGCCCGGTATAGTAGGTAGTACTCTAAGACCCATTTCACAGGTGAAGAGTGAGCCTCAAAGAGGTTGAGTAATTTGCCCAAAGTCACACAGTAAGAGTAAGGTTACATAGCCAAGCAGTCTGAGCCCATGTGGACTCCATGGCGTCCCTGGGAGGCAGGTGGCTGGCAACGTGCACCCTTGTCTGCTGGCTCTTGGCCAGTGAGTTGTGAGCAGCGGTGAAGGCAGCAGTGCAGGGCACCCTCATCAATGTTTGCTGAATGAATGGACTCTGGAATGAATGGAATGAATGGGGGCAGCCAGGATGTTTTCCCCTGCTGGGGCAGCATATACCCTGCAGCAGGCAGGCAAGAGGATGCCGGATACTCAGAGCATCCGAGTCAGCAAGTCTATTTTAAACTCCCCTGGTTGAGCAGAGCCCTTTCCCAGCTTTGCTCACAGGGAGCTCAGCACTAACCAGACAGTGTGGTCACACATGCACATGCGTGCGCACACACACACACACACACACACACACCATTTCTAAATTAGTGTTTAAAATGTAAAAATTATGACCCACGTAGGACAACAGACAAAGACCAAGTGGTTCCTTCCAGATGCTCCAGCTCCAAGTGTGGGTGCAGGGGCCAACAGCTCGGTCACCCAGGCCACAGTCTGCCAGAGTCCATTCTCAGCTCCAGGTATCTATTTGTCCAGGACCATTCAGCCTTGACAAAGCTTCTGAAGGAGCCTGGAATTTCCTCTCACCCAGGTCACAGGCCAAGGCACTGGAGTGAGCAAAGTCTTATTACTCTTGATGAAAACGAGCTGCTGGCTTTTGGATTAAAAAGAAAGGTAAGGAAGAGCCTCGGCTGGTGGGCTGGCTGTGGCCTGGAGTGTGTTCCTCAGGCACCTGCAGGAGCTGGTTGGGCTCAGCCCTGCTCCCGTCCTGGGTGACCTGGGGCAAGGGGCAGCCGCTGCACAAAGCAGCAGAAACTCGAGGGGCCTGGAGTCATTGCAGGCCATCCTCCAGGTCTGGGTGCTGGTTTCCAGGAAGTTTCTTACTGACTCTGGCAATCCCGCCTCTGTGTCTCTATTTCCTCACCTATGAAATGGGGGCAGGGGGGCTGTTGAAGCTAACCGATGGGAAAGCACTGCTGGGAAACACACGGTGCCGCCCAGAGGCCATGGCAGAATCTGCCTTGGGGTTGTGGACACCCCCAGCCTCAGGCTTCCCAGTTTGGACAGTCAGCCACCTTTTGGATACTCTGGGCTGACCTGTCCATACCCAGGCCCCCCATATCCAGGCGGTGAGGTCCAGTCTCAGGAAATCCATGGGGAGGAGGGCAGAGAATCTGGAGGAGAAAGAAGAGACCCAGAAAGAGGGAAAGTGAGAGGAAAGTAGGGGGAGGAGGAGAGAGCAGAGAGGGAGGGGAGGGACGCTGGGGAGAGGGGTCACAGCGAGAGGCGCCAAGACAGAGGCCGGAGTCCTGAGGCTCCCTGGAGCACCCCAGGAAGGCCGCGGCGGGAGGCCGCCGACCGCGCGAGCCCAGTGGGCGACCGAGGGCCTGAAGAGCTGGGCGGGGGCCAGACCCGCGCCCGACAGCCGGCCCGCACTTACTGTCGCCGCCGCGTCGCCGCCGCCGCCGCCTCTCCGCTTACGTCGGCCACTACGACGACTCGGGGCTCTGCGGGGCCGCAGGCCGGGCTCCGCCTCCAGGCGCCGCCCCACCCACCACCGCCCGCGCTTCCCGGTTTGCAAACCTTTCTCCTTCCGGCGCTCCTTGCGCTGCTACCCCATTTCACAGGTGGAGAGAGTGAGGCGCTGGGCCGCCAGGTTCCCTGCGCAGGCGGGCGTGCGAGCGCTCCGTGAGCCGGCTCTCGGTGCTGCCGCAGCTGCTTCTCCACCGTGGAGCCCGACCCCATCATTTCCCAGAGCCCTGCTCCCCAGAACCCGGAAAAGCTCTCCACCTGCCCCCAGACTCCTGCAGAGTCTCACCCCCTCTTCCCTGATCCCCTGCTGTTCCCCGCACCCCACCCCCGCGCCGCCTGACGGACCCTCCTGTGTGCCAACACCTTCCAGAGGCTCGTTGTCTGGCTGAGGCAGGGGCGTAGTTGGGCCGGCAGCACGCAGTCCTCAGGACCATCCCGGCCCCACGAGGCCCTCCCACCAGCCGCCAGACCTTCCTGTCTAAATTACAGGCCAAGGCAGCCACCTTTATCCTACCCTCTCTCTGCTGTGCCCCTGACATCCACTGTCTCATTATTGTCACATGCCCTGAGGGGCCGGCGTCGCCTTGTGCCCCTACTACGGAGGGACCTGAGAAATCTGGGCTTGTGGGAAGCCCAGATGGAGCTGGGATGTAACACCAGCTCTGTCTGGGTCTAAAACCCCTGCGGAGATGCCCCTGACCCCACAGGGGTGAGCTCAGTGCTGGCTGCTCTCGGGGCCGGGGGAGGTGGCAGCCTTGTTTCATGGTGAGGCTCACAGAACACTGTACTTCCTTCATTAAGCAGACCTACTCTGTGCCCTGCCCTGCAATGGGGTCCCATGATATTTGGTCTGTTCCCTTGTTCTGGACTCGACTGTCTAAAACCCATAGAATTTGCTGAGTGATGGGGGTGATGGGAGAGTCTTTTGTTGTTCATAAGGAGCCCCTTTCAACCTTACCTGAATTTATGCTAATGAGGTGGGCTTGGTGGGCTCCAGATAGCTTCTGGATGAGGGCTGGTGGCACCAGAGGAACCCACGCAGGGATTAGAGGCTTGGAACTTTCAGCTCCACGCCCCCTCTCCAGGGAGGGGAGTGGGGCTGGAGATGACATAATCACCCATGACCAATGAGTTAATTAATCATTCCTACGTGATGAACCTCCAGAAAAACCCCTAAATGATGGGGGTTCAGAGAGCTGCTGGGTTGGCAAACACATCCGCCTGCAGGGAGGGTGGCACACCCCAACTGCATGGGGACAGAAGCTCTGGACCTGGTACCCTGTTCATTTGTATCCTTTATAATAAACCAGTGATAGTAAGTTAGCTCTTTCCCTGAGTGCCATAGGCCGTTCTAGCAAATTATTGGAAGTGAAGGGGATGTGTGGGAACCCTCGATTTTGTCACCAAGTTGAACAGCAGATTGGGCACGCTGGGTACCCCATACTTGTGACTGGGGTCTGAAGTGGGGGCAACCTTGTGGGACTGAGCCCTCAACCTGTGGGGTCTGAGGCTCCATGGAGTTGGTGTCAGAATTGAACTGAATTGTAGGACGCCTAGCTGGTTTCCAGAGAGGTGGAGATTGGAGAGTTTGTTGTTGGTATGTACATCAGAGAAAAGAAACCCACCACATTTGTTGTCGGAAGTGTTGAGAGTAAAAACAGTGCAAAGACCCAAAGGTGCCAAGGGCTGGGGCCTTGCTTTGGAGGAACTTGTGCTCTCCCTGGGGGGACAGGCTGCCAGGGGCAGAGGATACAGGAAACCCTGAGGCTGCAGCCAACTCTGAGAGCAGACCGATTCCAGGACCAGGGAGGGGATGGGAACGGCTGGGCAAGTGGGCAGGCCCCAGTGATTGGTGGGATCCGCTCCCTT